TTTAATAAATGTTTTATTTTGATATATAATACATACCTAATACATTAATACATATTAGTTCATTATACATTAGTACATATTAGTACATTATACATTAGTACATATTAGTTCATTATACATTAGTACATATTAGTACATTATACATTAGTACATATTAGTTCATCATACATTAGTACATTATACATTAGTACATGTTAGTACATTATACATTAGTACATGTTAGTACATTATACATTAGTACATATTAGTACATTATACATTAGTAAATGTTAGTAGTGATAAAGGAACTGCGGGAGCTTTAAAAAGAGCAAATGGAAGGGATAGGGATCACGTCAAGTAGAGGTATTCCTATAGGACCGAAAACAAGACGAAATTTCTATTTAGAAATTCTCAACTTTTATTCGTCAATATTTTTTTAAAAAGCAACAAAAAACGTAATATATATATATATATATGTGTGTGTGTGTGTGTGTGTGTGTGAATGTGTGTGTATATATATTGACATTCAACAAGTTCATGCTCGTTGAAAGTTGTTACGTCGGCAAAAAGATATTCCTGCGCTATTATAATTGACATTGTTCTAATAATGGACGTCTATGAAATTTTACGATCTTATAAACTCGAAATGTTATCTTTAAAAAATATAAAATTTACTACTCGATGTGCGTATCAATTAGTTAAGGAACTGATCTACCAGCTTCACATATTCAAACACATAACAATTATATTTAATAGCTAAGACTGTGGAAGAAAACGTTTCTAAAGTGGCTGAGTTTTGTAACAGATGTGTTAAGTTTTATAAGAGATAAATGAAGCCAGTTAGTTAATCTGTAACCCTTATGAGCCGTACAATAGTACGCCTAACATTATCCACGGCAGTCCACACCTCCCATTACTGAGCATGCGGGTTTTGGGAAAAAATCGATAAGGACTGACATCCGAGCTACAGATCTGACCTTGTCTTGTCAGTCCAATTGCCGTAGCGTTAACACAAGAGCTGGAGGAAACCTAGAGGAACGATTATTGTGTAACAAGCAGCATTTCCTATACACCTGTGAACTCTTAGGAACACCTTCGTTGTTACTCCCTTGTTTGTCAAGACGTCTTGTCACAAATCGCTCCTTTCTGGATCACAAGCAAACGTCTTGAAGCTCACGATATTTAAGCCTCCGATAATCTGTTCAGTGTACTTGCCAAAATGGCGGATGATTCTCCACAATATAAACTATTAACGGCGATGATAATCGTAATCACGAGTCCATTGGTAATCACCCTCACGTCCAAGACTTCGACGGAAGGTAAGGGAAATAGTGCTTGTTTGAAATATTCATTGTGTCATATTATTTATTACAATATTTTCACCCCCCCCCCCCTTGAGAAAATTTACATTATCTCGTTTAATATAAAATATAGGTTCATTAAGAAAACTTCGTATTTTTTGGTTATTTGTAGAAAAACGTTCATATTGGCTCACAGCATTATTAGACAACATGAGTGAGGTAGAACTAAATTTAGAAGTGAGGGGTCGCCACGATATACCATACTCTCGCTCACTCTTAGACAGAAGAGATAATCATTAAACAGGTTGTTTAATATGTATATCATATTTATGAATCAATTAGAAAATTCAGAAAATTGTTGCTTGGGGTATATTATTAAAAAGCTTTCAGCTAATGACAAAATTTGATTTTGTAGAAAGCGTTCCGTATTAGAGACATCTCATCGATCCACATTTGAATGTATAAGTAAGCAATGTAGAAAATAATTGCATTTATATGAAGCTCTCTTGTGACCCCTCAGGATTATATCACTGATTAAGACTCTTTCGTGTGAAATATCACGAGACTGCTTTGTTTGATATTTTAAAACGAAAGCAAGCTGTCGACAAAAGAGCCGATTTGACTGAAAACACTGGTGAATTTAAATAATTGCTACTTTAATAATAAGTATTTGATGATAAATAGAATTACTATTTTCATAAGAACAAATTAATCCTGATGTTGTTTGTTTAGTTGCTTGCTGTTAAGCACAAAGTTACAGAATGCGCTATCTTTTAGCATTAGCAGTCTTCAGACTTACCATTGAGTCTCCGAAGGTGTTATTTTGTTAAATTTCTGTGAATGCTTTTATTAAACGACGAACGAAACAGGAAAATACATGATAGAAATAAGAAATAACAGTGGGGTATATATATTTTTTGCAGTAAACAAAATTTAATTTGTAATTCTTCTATTGTGTATATTGGGAATTCCTTTTTGTATTTTGTTTTTATGAATTTTTATACTTGTGTTTTCAGTGTTTCATGATTTCTACTAAGTTAGGCTACTTATTTAGGCTTACGTTTCTTATAAATAATGTTACGTCTCTGTTCGTTTGTTAATTTTCCGTAAAAATTCATTCCGAAGAAACTTTAGCGATACAAGTCCTTTCTTAAATAAAACTAGTTTATTCTTTCTCAATACAACTTTGAAATTCACTTAATTTTCACAGTCACGCTATAACTTAAACAAACGCTATAATTCACAACAACGATTCACGCGCTTGACTCAATTGTTGTCTCT